GTTAGGTGCAAATTATTCACCTATTTATATGCATTTCCCTCCTCCTACTCCATGGTTATGATGCATTATAATCCATGATTCACATTTATCGTATAGAACTTTCTACTTAAACAACATCTAGAATCTTTACACTCTACAAATATATTCACAAGCTTCTCACATTGTAGAATCTTTCCAACTCTCTCAACACTCCATAATTTTCACAAAAATCTAGAAAACGTTACAATTTCACTTTCCCCATACCTATGTAGAGTCCTCCTTAATGCTCACGGCTCACGTGTTGAGGTTGCGCGACTTCCCATCAAATAGGTGGGGGCGTTATCAATAACCTTGGAATTCCGGCTTCTTTTCGAACGAGTTGCAAAATACAAAAAATTTGAAAACAACAACAAATAAAATACCTCCACCAAAACGAGTTGCAAATTTGGTTCCAATGTTTCTTGGTCAGGAGTGGTCTTCTTCAGCATCACTTTGTTAAGTTTCATGGTTAGGAGTGATCTTAAAATGTCACTTTGTTTATAATTCACAAATTATGTTATAAGGTCTTAATCAATCACTAATTGACACACAAACAAAAATAAAATAAAATCGACACAAAATTGATACATTTATTTACGTGTAATTATTCCTGGACCAATGTGAATGAATTCATGTCTAGGGAACTTTTTGTGTTTACAAATTTAAGACAATTTTTTTTTTTCGAATGGCTCAAATTTAAGACAGTTGCCCGAGCAAAGATTCAAAACTCAATTTTTGTGGTGATTAATCAATTACCCAAAATCTTGTTTACACTCTAATAAAGCACATTGCATAAACAATCAGACATTCAATCGAAATGAAATAACGTAAGGTACTAAAGAGAAAAAATCAAATCAGAAACATGCTAAAATTCATGAGAAATACTTATAATAAATAAATAAATAAAAAGAAGAAGAAATAAATAAATAAACAAACACACACACAAGCTAATAATCCACAATTAAAAAAAAAAAAAAGAAAAAAAGAGGTCAACTCTATGTTTCAAATCTTTACCCCTCAAAACAAATTTGTTTTGCACAATTCAATTTTTTTTTTTTTTTTTAAACTTTTAGTGATTGTCGGTGATAAAGAAAAATAAACCTAACTTACCTTGACCTAATAACAGAGATAACTAAATGTTCACCAGTCGCCAAACCTTTTCGACTTTCAAACGATGATATTTCCATTGGATAAGAATGATAATATTTCATTATCAATGATAATGAAATATGAAGGGTAAAGATAACCTCGGCACAATTTGAGGAAGTCAAAAGGGTAAATCATATCCCCAATAAATCTGGCAACAAACGGATCTCCTCTGATCTTGCACAAGCGGGTCTCCTCTGATCCCACAAATGAACTGAGGGAGAGCGACTATAAGAAGGAGATCCTACCAGTCAATAAAGGGACGACAAAAAATGATTATTAAATCCCTGCATTTCTTTTAGACCTCTGATGACTGACTTGATCGTTGGAGAGCTCTTGGCAGGCACCACACCGGTGCCATCAAGATTCATCGATCTTCTACTTTCTTCTTTGCAGGAAAACGGTGTCGTATCGGACAGCGTGGATTTCTCCCCCAACAGTTGGCGCCGTCTGTGAGAAACAATGATTCCCTTAAATCAATTACTCGGTTGGGTATATGTATTTGCGGTTCGGTATGGTAACTGGAACAGAAATATCGTTGCGAGGATCCAGTCAAAGAGAAGGGTCGAGTGAACACCCAAACGTCCCGAATGACCAAGAATGGCTTGCAGCGTTAGAACTACAGGTCCAAACTTTGAATCAGGGTATGGACCAAAATCCAACAAAATGCAGAGATCCTACAACATCTTGTCCCAGCAGAACCTCCACCTCAACAAGAATTGTCCAAACCATATCCTTCCAATCTGAATGATGGGGGACAACATGAGGAGGACCGAGAAAAAGATCCTCCTCACAAGTTCGAGGCAGAACAAAGTCAAGTTGGAAACCGACACGGAGAACCTTCTTCCTCGCCTCCACGGAATCCCCAGCCTCAAACAGGCACAACCATCTGTGTTAAGAAAATGACAGAGAAAATTACCTATTTCAACCTACAAATCGAGGATCTCAAGGCGAAAATGGAAGATATAATGCAGGCTATGAAAGGAAAGGGTCCTGCCGCCATAGATGACCTGGTGCAGAAGACCAACTTGTCGTTCAGCTATGCCGTTATGAAATGTCCACTACCTAGCAAGTTCAGGATGCCCTCGTTCGAAAGCTTCGATGGAAAAATAAACCTAACCTACCTTGACCTAACGACAGAAGCAACTAAGTGTTGACCAGTCACCAAACCTCTTCGACTTTCGAATGATGATATTTCTATTGGATAACAATAATAATATTTCATTATCAAAGATAATGAAATATGACGTGGTTCAACAAGTTAAGGATAACCTTGGCACAATTTGAGGAAATCAAAGGGATAAATCATGTCTCTGACAAATCTAGCAACAAACGGATCTCCTCTGATCTTGCACAAGCGGATCTCCTCTGATCCCGCAAATGAACTGAAGGAGAACGACTATAAGAATGAGATCGTACCAGTCAATAAAGGGGATAAAAAACGATTATTAAATCCCTACCTTTCTTTTAGGCCTTCAGTGACTGATTTGATCGTTGGAGAGCTCTTGGCAGACACCACACTGGTGCCGTCAAGATTCATCGATCTTCTACTCTCTTCTTTCCAAGAAAACGGTGTCGTATTGGACCGCGTGAATTTCTCCCCCAACAGTTGGTATTGTTCTTCCATGATAATATATAGTGATAAAGTCGTAATCCACTTGATTTGATTTACGGAGTATTTGAATATAGACTCATTGTTACACGACACTACATGTTAACACGACTTGAATGTTTTAGCTCATCAATTTTTTTCTTTCTTCTTTTTCAATGCATGTCAGCATGTATTTAGTGTTTACCATTTATAAAAAAATAAAACACATATCTTTGAATTTCTTATGAACTTGTATTTTTTTTATTTAATCCACTTATAATCTTATAATATAGGAGTACACTTGTCACCACCACTTCATCTAATTAATGCCACTTATAGTGTAGGAGTATCTTCAATGCCACTTTTTATCTATTTCATTTTTGGGAAAGAAAAAAAAAAAAATCTATTTCATTAATTATTTATGCACATTGCTCTAAATACCCTCTCTCGCAGTCTCTCCATTGACATCAACATGTTGTAAATGGTAACCGTAACATTTTGGCGTTTGCCTATTTATTCACAAACTTAAGTTATTACCCATTTATATTCATTTTACATTCCATCCAGATCTGATGTGGGAGAAGTACCATTTGTAACATTCTCTCCCCACCCGAACTCGAAACGTCCTCATTGTTATTGGATCATCCAACCTACCCAGGTGACTCACCCGGGCGCCTCCGTGTTGGACACTTGACGTGATATTGGATTAAGAATTGGATCTGAATTTGATACCAACTGTAACGGGTAGGCGCTTACCCATTTGCCCAAAAGCTTAAGGTATTGGATAGTATTGTATACTCACTCATTTATACTCATTTCACTTCCTATCTGAATCCGATGTGAGAGAAGTACCCTTTATAACAATAACCATATAGCAAGATATTTATGTTATTATTATTATTATTAATAATATGTGTGATTTGTACAAATCAACAGTAGAATTGCAATTTCTCAAGTTTCATCATTTGGTGTCAATCAGTATGACATTACCATCCTTATTCGGAAGGTTCATTTAAGTTTTTATTTTTTATTTTTTATTTTTTTGTTTTTTTTTTTTTTTTTCTTCAATATTAAGTTGTGCTAAGCAATATAACGACTTTGCAAGCACAATCCTTTGATCTTGTGGGTCCCACAGAGAGGGTCACTGATTCAAAAATTTTAATTATGCAGTCGCGATTATACTTAACATTCCTCTCTAGGATTTATCGTGGTGACAGTTACATTTATCTTAATGTGGATTCGAAGTTGGGAAATTGGTGGACGGGCTTCGAAAATAACGCATTAATCGGTCATTGGCCGGCAGAGCTTTTCACGCATTTGGCGACCATGGTGGAGTGGGGACTGGGTAGGTGAGGTGGCGAATTCAAGGGTCAATGGTGAGCACACCTCCACCCAAATGGGCTCTGGCCAATTTGCCGAAGACAGGTTTGGGAAGGCGAGCTACTTTCGGAACATAGAGGTTGTGGACTCGAATAACAGACTCACCTCGGCCCAAGACATATCAACAACTACCCTTGCAGAGAACACCAATTGTTACAACATCAAGGCCTCCTACAACAAGGAATGGGGCACACATTTTTACTATGGTGGGCCTTGGAACAGCCCACAGTTATGCTATTTATGGCTTCATTATATATTTGATTTTTTTCCATGTATTAAAAAAGCAAAAAAACAAAAATTAATATAAAATTTTCCTTTTCTTTTTCTTTATTTTTTATTTTTATTTTTAAGTATACTGTTTTTCTGAAATTTATTGTGATGTTGAAAAATTCGAGAAAATGGAAGGAATTTGAAGTGTTTTTTTTTTTTTATTAATTTTTTAAATTCTTTTTCACAAATTTAAGTTTATTTCAAACAGAAAATGAAATCCCATTTTAATTTTTAATTTAATTATTTTTCTAATTCCAAATCGAATAAGAATTTGGTTAAAGCAATACAATCGAGAATTGATTTATTTGGGTTCTTAAGCTCTTGAAACGATTCATTTTTATAATGGTTGGCGTGGGAACAATTGACAGGCCCAACAATCTCTCTCATTTGATTCTCCCGCCAAAATTTAGAATTTAATGAAAATATAAAAAATATATTTATACATACTCCGTATATATATAAAATAAAATAATATTATAACATTTCCTTCCCATTTTCCCTATTTTCTCTAGAGAGGGTTTGTTGCTCTGGTCGATGCTTCAAATTCAGCAACAGCTTTCTGTTTAAACCGCTTATACTCACACACACAACACACACAACACACACACATATTTGTTTGTATATATATATGGGTTTGTTGAACATTACATGCTCAATGATTCGAACGTCCTATTCCGTTTATATTTTGAGAACCTTCTCTGCAAACCCTAATTTTTTTGTGCTTTATTTCAGCTTCTTCTTCATTCACTTCCTGCCATTTTTCTGCAACTATTTACTATCCAAGAATCCAATTTCAGGGTTTCCTTCTTTCTCACTTTCTTTCTCTGCAACTACTTTCAGGGTTTCCTTCATTTTCTACTTCTTCTTCTTCTTCTTCTTCTTCTTCTTTTTGTTTTTTGTTTGTTTTTCTTTCTCGCTCTTTTTCTCTCACAGCCTTTGATACCCTTTTCTTACTCTGCAAATACTTTCAAGGTTTTCTTCTTCTTCTTCTTTTTGCTTTTTGTTTTCTTGTTTCTTTTTTTCTCTCACAGCTTTTTGAGACCATTTTCTTACAAGGGTTTTAACGATTTCTTGGTTCTTTGCCTTGATTAGCTCAATTCCGTAAAAATCATTGGTTTATCTTTTCTGGGTCTTGGAAAATCTCTCTGAATCACTGGTTTGACGAATTTCAATCTATCAAGAAATCCAAGAACACATGGAGGATGATCAAAGAATGTTGTTGGGTCCCAAAGGCCTAATTAAGCGACCTGAACTTGTAAGAGTGATGATACAAGCTCTCCATTGTTTAGGCTACAGTAGAACTGCAAGCAAATTCGAATCAGAGTCTGGTATTTCATTAGAAATCCCGAAAGATCCCGAATCTTTGGCGTTCGATTCTCTGAAATCACACATTCTTAACGGGAATTGGGAAGCTAGTGCCAAAATGCTCTGGAAGGCGAATGATTTGACTGATGAGGCAAGGAGTAAAGCTATGTTCTTGGTCCTCAGATCGTGGATGATAGAGTGCGTGAGCGAAGGTGACCTTTCTTCACTAACGGAGATCGTTCACCTTCAGAAGAACGATTATCAATTCACAATGAGCAAAAGTGACATGGAAAATCTGGATTATTTTGTCACTCGTTTCGAAGATTATGATATGATGGACTACAGTGTCGATGTGATTTCTATTCCACTATGTCGGAAAGAGTTGGTGGAGTACTTGAAATATGTGCTTCCTCCTGAGATAAAAATGACTGAAAGAAGGTTAGAAAGTCTGGTTGAGACGACAATTCGAGCTCAGATAAATTCTTGTAGCTACCACAACTCGGCAGATCCAATTTCGCTGTTGGAGGACCATTGCTGCTGTAGAGATCAGTTTCCTACCGAGACAGTGCAGGTAGATTTCTTTTCTCATTGTACTTTATAAGTGTGCATGGCTTCTAATTGAATTTTTTGGGCCTTACAGTCATAGTTAGTGTATCTCTGTCACACACAATGTGTGTATTTTTGCTATAATTTGTTTGTTGTATAACTGCTTGTGTTAATCTGTTATTTATGTTTACAGTGTCTTTACTCTTTACACAGTATGGCTGAATAGATTTAGATATGTTTATACATGTCATGTAGTATGGGTTCTCTATGAATTTGTGATCAAACTTGTCTTACAAAATTGGATTTGAAACTTCAAATACAAGACTTTGACAGGTTTTGTTACCTTTTCTTGGAGAAAATAAACTGGAAAAGAGTTCAAAGAGCAGAGGAACTCTCTGTTCTTGATTGTATATCCACAATCTTTCCAAAGCATTGCAAGTCAACATATACACTGTACTCTAGAAGAAATATATTATGTACATAGTTTTTCGAGAGATTTTCTCCTATTCTAATGCCTAGGGACTGTTTTACGTGAGCTGAAAAGCGATGAAGAATATGGTACATATACCATGTTCCCAAATTATCTATTTATGCTCCATTTGCTGCAAATGTGTCTAAAAGTTTAATAGATGTTTGCACGTGTCTCTCTGTGTGTTCTTACACTGGTTCGATTTGGATTGTTAAGAACTTTCTGTTTTGTAAGCTTAATTTCTATATTTTTTGCAATCAAACAGGAACCGTATATGGTTCTGAAGTTTCATCGTTAGGAGTTGTCTTCTTCAGTGTCATTATGTATGTGATTTGCTATTCTTGCTATTCATTTGAGCAAACATAGGAAAATAACAAGGCAAAAAAAGAGAAGGAAAAAAAAAAAAAAAGATTAACCACCATTCCAGTTCTTTTTAAAATATATTTCATCTTTTTCTATTCTTGCTATTCATTTGAGCAAACATAGGAAAATAACTAGGCAAAAAAAAAAAAAAAAAATGATATACTATCATTCCAGTTCTTTTTAAAATTTATTTCATCTTTTTTTTATTTATTATTTTTTTAGGAGTTGTAGTGAGAATGTAAGTACACTTGCCACATCAAAAGAAATCTTTATGCCCCATGTATTGTAAAAGCTCCTATTTTTTTAGATAAGCCTTTCTCTTATATTAGCACACTCAGTACTCTTAGTGGAGTTAAAAGAAACATTTATTCCCCATCAGGAAACTTGCATAGTTGCATGTTATGGCTTAAATTTTAGGAATTTTTTTTTGTCACTATGCAGTTTGCTCACATAAAGAATCACATGATAGCTTACAATTCCTAAATATTTGTAAGTTGCACTGAATAAAATCTACCCAAGTATGTTCTAGAACTTCCCTTTGTTTTTGATCATTGAAGACTTGTTTACATATCAGCAATGTAGAGAAACAAGTTTTTCTCCTTCAATAGGATATCTAGTTTTTACTCCTAACAGGTTTTTTCTGGCACACTAAGAAGCATGGACACTGGTAAGGAGGATTAGTGTATATGTTGAACATTTAGAAAAATTCTTGAATTCAAACACACGACTGACAAGTTTGGTATTTGGACATTTGTTAATATTTCTTTTAGCATAAAAAAAGAAATTATAGTAAATAAAAATTAAATTAAAGATTTATGAAAAATTTATATAAGTTCTGACCATATTGAATAAAAAAAGAAAAGAAAATATAGAAAGGTTTTCCTTAAGATGTGGGTAACAGAGAAGGAGAGAAATCATCAATACATATCTACAAACATAACAAAAGATGCATGCACATATATGTGGTGTTCTTTTTATAAATTAATCTATATGGCAAGGGTGTTTGTGATTGTATATTTTATAAGTTTTTGAATTTCATGTAGTCATAGATTATTAGAATCGCGAATTGCAAACCCTGTTTGTCCCTTCCCTTTAATTGCCCATAAGTTTTATTTGATTATTTATATATTTTTTATTTTTCCCTTTATTTCCGCAATAGGAGTAAGCAATCATGAATAATTTGATATGATTTTTCTATTTTGCATCTGTTGTGAAGAACAGCGGAGGCATCTGATATTTTTCATCTCTCTTTATTCTGAAGTAATTTTTTCCAGTAGATCTGTAAAATCTTTAATTTAAAACTTACATTTGATGCTCAATTGAACATATTTGTGCATGGATATTACTAATTTATGATTACATTTATATGGCAGGAGAGAATTTTGAATTTTGTTTTTAATAAAACTTTATGTTATTGTTAAACCTTAGTCATTGTATACCCCATTCAACTGCCAAAGCATGGTTAGCCTTCAAAATTACCATTAAATTAACATGTCAACAGCTGAAGGACCATTTTTATAGTCCCATATGCCTGCAAACATGTAATCCTTTGGGTGACACTTTCTTACAAGTCTATCTACTGAACTCCACTAACTCGAGATATTGTGGTTTTTCTTCCCTTTTATTCCTAGTATTATTGTTTTGGCTCAATTTTATTCTATTATTTTTCATCTTTGTATCTTTTGTTTACTGGGAGACTTTTGTCCTAAATCTTCGGTTTTAGGTGTCCAATGTGCTACTCAGCACTGAAATTCTTAGGGGATTTTACATAGCTATACGCAAATTTGTTATCTGATTAACATAAGCTAAATATACAAAAAGTAATGTTTTTTTTATCTGCATGACAGAATTGAAACATAATGTTCCAGTGCAAATCACTTCTTTTTTCTATAAATTGATTGTGATGTGCTGCTGCTTGTGCTCATTAATGTGCTGCTCAATGCGACAGGTTTTACAAGGGCACAGCGATGAAGTGTGGTTTGTGAAGTTCTCAAATAATGGGAAGTACTTAGCCTCATCATCAAAAGACTGCAGAGCTATGATATGGAAGGTACTGTAGATTTCTCGTCTTTTATAAGTTGTATAAAGGTTCTTGTATTCATTTTTTTTTTTTTTTTTTTTTTTTTTTTTTTTTTATAAAGGGATTATGGGGGTTGGAATGAAGCACAACTCATCTATACTGTAATTCACTCAGCTGAAATGTTGTTTGCTGATGTATGTTCTAGTTTTCTGTTTTTATCATTCCTTTTGTTTTGTAATCCACTGGAGTTTTTTTATTCTAGTTCCAATATGCTTGATGTGTATTCTATCTCGTGTTTCATAGTCAGTTACTTATTTCTGGTAATGGTTGTGGTTCATGTCCTTGTCAGACACAGACCAATAATGTAATGCCAAGGTGTTACCTCTACACATGCAACTCCCAATATAAAAGAATCATGCTGGCAATTACACACATTGTTAAACTTGTTTTGAACAATTATATTCTGCCATTACAAACTACTCAATTTTGTAAACTGAACACAGAACGAAAAAGAAGGCCTTGGGTGGGAGTGAATTTTTTTTTCAATAGTCCCTTAGCTAGAGTGTCCTTGTTTTGTTTTTAGTTAATCCTGTAATTGTGACAATTTAGCTATGGGATGAAGCTCCTATTCTTTTTGTGATCTGATCTAGAAATATCTAGTTATTTATTTGTTTATTTATCATTAGTCTCCCAGAGGATATTAATATAAAAGTTATACATATTCTTCTGCCTTGTTACTCTCTCAGTTTTGATGAAATGGTAAGTGTGTAGCAGCTTTTTAAAATGATCTTGAATAATGCTCTCACCTAAATAGGATTTTGTTATTCAACACACTACCATCAATATAGTTTCACAAAACAAACATGTGTCTAGAGATCAGGCTCATGATTTTAGCCTCACTGGGTCAACGTAAGAAATTGTCTATCAGAAAACCAAACTTGTCTACTTTAGAGCTTATAGAACGAAAAGAAAATAGCATCCTCTTATTCACCAAAATGCTGAAGTGGAAAAGCATTTTTTCCCCCTTGATTTAGCATAAGCGTAATGATTCCAGTCTTCCTTTAGCAAAGATGGAGACTTGTATTTTATCTGGCTTGCTGGCCAAAGGCTAGTAAGATATACTAAAATCTACAAACTGGAATGTAGCTTTAAATTTTGGATTGTCATGAGCTCTTCCATAATTGTTGTGCATTGTATATCCTTCATGCGGGAGCTTTCACTTTTTTTTTGTTCGTTGGTTTCTTAATCATTGAGCTTCTGCAGAACCCACAGTCCAAAAATAATTCTGAGATTTAGATCCCTTACTGATTACTTAATCCCTTGACTATTCAAATTTAAGTTTCTAAAACCTTTTTTATATTTTTTTTATGTTTGTGTGGTTATTGTGGCAGGTAATTGAAGATCATCTGGAATTGATGCACACTCTTAAAGGCCACGAAAAACCTGTCTCCTTCGTGTCGTGGAGCCCCAGTGACAGTATGTTACTCACGTGTGGACAGGAAGAAGTTATCAGGTTATGGAATGTTGATACAGGATGCTGCTTGCGTATATTCAACGAATTTGGCTTGACTTTGAGCTCGTGTGCTTGGTTACCTGATGAGAAAGGGATATTCTATGGAAATATCAGGCCAAGAAAGTACATTTTCATGCACAAATTCGATGATAATAGGATCAAGTCATTTTCAGGGGGAAGGAAACACATGATTCGTGATTTTGCTTTGACACCAAATGGGAAGTATCTTATCATCGTTTCTTCTGATAATGATATTCTAATAAGGAATCTTGAAACTCGTGGGCACAGTTTTCTAATAGAGGAGTCTGCAATTGTTTCGATTTCCATTTCTGAAGATAGCGAGTTTCTGATAATGAATCTTAATAACCAAGAGATCCACATACGTGATCTCAATGGGATAATGACCGAGCCATTTAACTATAGAGGGCATAAGCTAGCAGGATTTGTAATCCATTCCTGCTTTGGTGGCTATGAATCGATGTTTATTGCCAGTGGTAGTGAGGACTCTCAGGTACCTTTAGCCTCTGAAACTTTAGATTGTCGTGGCATTATTTTGCATTGATCTTGTAAAAATTGAGTGGAATGATTCATCATGTTAATCTTTGTTGATTCAATTTGCGAGAAATTTGGAAAAAATAAAAATAAAATAAACACACACACACACACACACACAAGAGCCTATGGCTTTGTTGGGAAAATAATTCATGTTTAACTTCTAGGAAAATGAAACTAGTGGTGTTATTAATTTATGTCAGAGAATGCCAAAATACATCTATCCTTAGTGACCATTAGACACCGGGTGATTGCTTCCTTCATTTGCAAATTGTTGCCCCGGGAATTCTGACTCATGAAATTACACTAGAAGGTCTGTTCTGTTTACCAAGTTGGCATGCATCACATACTTTATCTTTTAGTTTTAGGCAGGACTCTGATCTTCTTTCATTGCTCTACACTTCCAAAGCTATATCATTTTCTTATGTTTTAGGGTTAGGACTTCTCAGTTCTAAATTGCAGAATGTATTTCTCTTTTGCCTATCTCTATCCCGGGATTGCCTTTTTTCTCTTTTTGTGCTGTTCGTGGATATGATATCTTAATTCATTTTTCATATGGAATAAATGAATTCTAGCGTCGTATCTATAGGCCTTCAACATGTACTGACTGGCTTTCGAGTCTGTTTTATGGACATAATTATATGAAATGAGATATTTTGCTATAAATTGAGTGTGTGGATTACTTTGGCACATATATCCACTATATTTGCAGAAAATTTCAGCTTTCACTTGTTCTCAAGTTGTGACTTAAGCATTCTGCCAACACTTGTTGTTGAGTTGAAAGTTAAGCTCGGTTGTTTACTGGTAGCAGGTGTACATCTGGAAACGGAGAAATGAGAAGCCGTTGGAAGTTTTGGCTGGCCATTTAGGGACTGTGAACTGTGTGAGCTGGAACCCGAAAATGCCTGAAATGTTGGCATCAGCAAGTGATGATTGTACCGTCCGCATATGGGGTCCTAAGAAGCCGAAGAGAGGAGGTTCATGAGATGTTTGGTATGAACGATGCAAATTTTGATAACACTGTTGCTGTATCTTGTCACATTCTTTATTCTTTCATTCTTCAGCTTTCTCTGTAATTAGACTCCAATTCCTTTTGACAAATCCTCTGTAATAAAGTAGTATTCTTGTAGCTCGACCTCTTGGAGATCGAGAATTCAAATCCATTTAATGAAGGAATTTTTTCGGTAATTGCCTTGTATATGTGGGACAGAGGATTGCATGTGTCCACTGATGGTTTATGAGATACTCCACAAGCCCGACAGCACCATCATATGAATAACTAGACATATCTTGTCAAATTGTTGGTTTGCAAGTTTAAGACAGTTGCTCTAGCTGAGATTATGAACATTGGGTACAGATTCAGATCCCACTTTGGGTATATATATATATATATATTATATTTTATTATTTTTTGACGTATCCATGTAGTACCTGTGTTCTATTTTTTTGAAATTTGTCATATTGTGTTGTATCTGTATGTCGTATGATCGTATCCATGCTTCCTAAGAATTTACTAAAAAATCTTAATTTTAAAATATATATATAAATAAATAATAAAAAAAGGAAAGTATGGACACATACATTTTTATTGAAATTTCAATTAAATTTTAATAAGATGTATATATTTGTAAGATTAACACGGTATTTTGATCACACATGTATCTTCACATTCTTGATTTTCTTTCGTCAGGTTTCTCTATAATTAGAATCCAATTCCTTCTGACAAATCCTATGTCATAAAGTGGTATTATAAATTTCTAATAATTAGCTCTTGAAACTCCAATGTGAATGTATATCTTGTGAAATTGTTTTTATAACAAATATAATAAAAATGATTTTTAACTTTTTCTTTTTCAATTTCATAAATCAAGCCACCTATTCTCATTTATAACTTGCCCGTAAATTTTTATTTTCTAAATCAAATAAAAATCTTTTTTTATAATTTATTATTTCTATTACTTTCACTTTCCAACAATATTTTCTTCCTAATCTCAACTCTTTCTTTAGTATCATAAATAAGGGAAAAAGTTGGTATCAAAAATAAGGGAAATGGTGGAAGGAACCAAATCTTAGATCAAATCAATTCAATTCATAGACATAATGTTTCAATGAGTCATTTGTTCCATGGTAGATTCGGATCAAAAATTAATTGAGTATAAATTGGTGGGAATGCAGGATTACTCAACAACTTAAACTTTTGGATAAATGGGCAAGCGCTCAATTGTTACGGTTGGTATCAAAATCAGGTTCAGTTCTTAATCTGGTACCATACCAAGCGCCCTTCTCGAAAGGCATCCGAGTGAGCCACTCAGGGTAGGCAGGGACGTCAGATCCAAATAAAAAAGTAATTGGACATAAATGGATGGATATGCAACACTATCCAACAACTTAAGTTGTTGGGTAAATGGGCAAACCTCCCACCCATTATACATAAACCATAAAGCGTAAAGCTCATATAAGCTCGAATCCATCCGATCACCGCCCCTCATAGAGAAATATGCTGTAATCGTCTGTCTCCACAATCTCCGCCCCTCCAATGGGGAATATTCACCTGCTTCACTTCCCTTGCTCACTCACTGGACCATCTCCATCACTCATAAACCCTAACAGGCCTCCCTCTCCAAACCCTAGTTTTCCTAAACGGTTCCGGTGTCACTCCACCGGTCGCGGTCGTAGTCCCAGCTGGGACTCGAACGCCGAGAAAACAATCCATGCTGAACGCTTTAGATTCAATCTTGAGAACGAGTCTCTCACTGATGACGACGGAGATGAGGACGGCGAGTTTGGTTTCAGAAGCACCGGGAAGCAGAGGGTCTGGTGGTCCGATGATTCGTTGGACATCGACGATGAAGAACAGTTTGGATTTGGGGAAGACTCTATCAGCATCAATTGGATAATTAAGGTACGAGACCGTCTCTATTTGGTTTTTGAATGATTAATAATATTTATAAATGGTGGTATTAGTTTTTATCTTGACATTGTTTTTGGTTGATGAGAAAATGGAGGAAAAGGGGAATAATGTAACAAATTTGAAACTTTGTATATGAAATTGATTACTTTCAGAGTATTGTAAAATTGTTTTTATTTCTTCGTGGAAGCTTTTATCCTCAAATTTGATAACAATTTGAAAAATTCCTAATCAAGATTTAACCATTTAATTCCACATGATAGTATGGTATAGGGAAAATGGTGTGTTTTTTGTGAGTATATAGCTTGTGTTTAAGGTAGCACTCTTTATAAAGAGTTCAATATCATCATGTTACACTTTTATGGTCCTATGTTTGGTCAAATCTACCCCACGGTCAGGGACGGACCTAGAAAAGTATGTGAGAGGGGGGCAGCAAATTAATGGGTAGAATAGCAAAAAGAAAATTTTAGTGGGGGCAATTTCCCCCGCTGAGCTCACAATAAGTCCGTGCCTGCCCACGGTCACAAACTTTATGTTATTCAATGTTCATTGCTCCTGCAAGAGTGAGAATTTTGGCATTGGTGTGGTAACGGCCAATGTGCTTCAATGGTTTAAGTCAGTGAAAATGGAAACTTGAATTAGTTTGAATTGCAAAGAGTTATTATCGCACGTGTTGCCTATTGGTACCATCATTCGTATATGTAGGGCGACCCATCCATCCTGTCAATTAGGATTATGTACATTAGTACATAGGCAGAAGCCAGATATGGTTGGCCTTATCCTGCTAAGTTGCGACATTAAGTTGGAGTTGGAAACTACATGTGTAATAAGTTATTTCTTGATTCGGTTACTTAAAATGAAAGTATGCGAAAAAAACCTTTACTTATCTCACGGAGGAGTTTCCATTTTGATTGAATTGCTTATTAATGAAGTTGATCCCAATCAGGGTCAACATAATCCTGAAAAGGAGGACAAGAATCTCAAATGTTCTGGCACCCTTACAGCATTGACAACTGCTGGCTCCATGCAAACATACCAACCTGATTTCCAAGACCAGCTAAGACATTTTCGACTGTTGAGGGGATGTTTATTGTTTCCTTAACATTGCTCCCCTGTACGTTATACATTGTGGACCTAATACCTGCATCTTCATTTGTTTCATCAGTGTCTTAGTCTTCATTTCCCTTCTGTTATAAGAGAGACTAAAAGCCCTTGTTCTCTTTTATTTAAACTTTTCTTTGATTGCATTTCTGCTTCCTTTTCTAGAGCTTTTCTGTTCGTCTTTGCTTTCATCCTTCTAGTATAGAAATGATTTCCCAAAGTTTGAGTGAAAAAGCTAGTGACCTAGGAGGTTAGAGATGGGCTTAGAGCCACTTAAACTGTTCAAACTTTGATATTTGAGGCCATCAATTGGCAATGAATAATGATGGTGACCCAGTATGCTTAATCAGTGACAGAGGAGCCATGAACCTTAAAATTATCAAAGATGAGCCCACCTTCAAACACACAATCAAGTATGATGATATGCAGACTATTTGAAGACTTGGGGGAAGAGATCAGGTTACAGGATACTGTGTGGGCTTGATTTTGGGGTTGCTGAATGCTGAGAACTGACGTTTGTCTCGGCTTGAAAAGGAGTTCCGAGCATTTCGCTCAAAATGCTATTATTTATTTTTTTATTTTTCATTTTTTATTTTTTGTGTGTAACCGTGTAACAGTGCATCTGACCTCATCATCAGGAGTGTGTCCTTATATTGTATTTTATGTGTGCTTTGCAACGTGTTATGTGACACTCTGAATTGTTAGAAATCCATTCTCCAAACAAGCCTATGAGGAAAACTGTTTATATCTATATTATATGTACTCTAATAATATTATTGTGCACACATGCACTCACTGAGATTTCTGTGACCTAACTGAAAAATATAACTGCAGTTGAGTTGATACATGCTACGATAGAATATGAGGGCCTGCTTGGTTCAGTTTTCTGAAACCAGCTTTTCAGAGAACTATAAAGACATTTCTGTGAAAACCGGCCTTTTAATAACTAAGTTTTCATAAAACTGCAACCAAACAAGTTTTTGTAGATCTGAAAACAGAAAACTGAACCAAGAATCCTCACGTCCCACTAAAACAAAACAGAGGAAAAGAGAAAAAGGCCTCTGTAAATTCATTGCACCTGGAACAAAAGAACCAAGTGTTAATTATTACAACAAAATATGTTTCTAGAATATCACAATGCCATGAATTTTAGAGGGGCTTTTGGAAAACCTTACACATGGTATATCTATTCACATTTATTTGATTCTAGTTATGGAAGACGGCGTGTATGATAAACTTTGAGTAAAGCTACGACTGAGGATTGTATAACTACAAAATATAATGAATAAGTTAACCACAATGAAGTTATATTTATGGAATTCACCTTATAACTAAGTATTGTAAATCGATGGTCAATTTCACCTAGTAACAGTGCATAATTGTACACGATATCGTTTTCAGCTGTAAATTATTCTATGTTACACATAGTTAAACAATATAAACACATTCTTCTTTAGTTTATGTTTGCAGAAGATAATATGATATTTAACTTCACCAGTCAACTTGTATCATTATAGCGAAAGTACTAATATCTGAAATTCCAAAAAAAAAAGTATTAATATCTGGAAATCAGTTAGCATTACACCATATGAAAAAAGGTTTAAAGGCTTGTAGTGAAAAAATCTAGAGCAGACTATAAGTGTCACAAACTGACTAGAATTGCAGAACTCGCTAATCTGATAGTTAGTTATTTGTAGTTAGAAATGCATTATTTTGCATTACATAATTTCTTTTCAACCAAGTCGGTTCCAACCTACTCAGTTGTTTTACCACTGCTCTTTCGCAATTCTTGCTGCATTGTGTCTCATTATAAATTTCTGATGTACTGTAGATATGTTAGTGCAGCTATTCAGAGCCTTTGGTTGGATGGTTCCAGCTATCATCATATCATTGTTGGTAGGAACAGGACCAAATGCTTTCTTCATGGCATTAGCACTTCCCCTGGCTCAGTCAGCACTTTCTCTAGCAGCTGATACGTTATGGAATAGGTCAAGCGAGGGCCGAAAAGCAAAACCCAGGACCAAGAAGAAGCCCTTTGCTAGAGCCTCAAGCAACGTCGGCATGGGCAAGGAAAAAGAAGAAAACACCGGGACTAGCAAGGGAAGAGGGAGTTCTCAGTCCTGGGCAGCTGCAAATGATGTTACAGTTAAAAAGGGTGACAAAAGCACACCGAGTTTTGGGGGATGGGATGAGCTAGACATACGAAGCCGGACTAGTGAAGTGCCTAAAAGGGCACCACCTCAAAGAGCAAACTCGCCAAGACAACAGAAGAAAGGTAAATTGAGTAGGAGACTGCGAAGTAGAGACACACCAATGCTGCTGAGATTACTGATTGCCATCTTCCCATTCTTGGGATCCTGGACCAAATTATTCTAGTAAAACTAATCGTTAAATTATGGTGGTGTTCTCGGACCACATCAATGCTAATATTTTTACTTGTTTTTCATCCATGATTATTAGCATATTACATTGTAGGATGATTTGTTACAACAGTTGTCTATGAATTTCTTATGACCTGAAGCCTTGTAAATCATTCCTTATATAATGTACATTTTTTGTATCTCACAATAATTTGGTTGATGTGAAATTGGTACACTATGATGGTATGCAAAATTTAGTAGGTTACAAAGTTTGAAGATCACAACTCACAAGTCCTCTTCTGGCCTCTCAGGCTTAGGAGTTCGCTTGTGTAATCAACCCTTAAGTCAGGCGTTTTGGAGGTTGTCAGTAATTGTCCATGATATGTGAGACGTGTGGATTGCATATGTTCGGTGAGACACCACATTATTGACAATATATATATATATATATATATATATATATATATATATATATATATATATATATATAATAAAATAAAATTTATATATATATAATAAAATAAAATTTAAAATGCCATTCGTTATGCTTCATCCATGTTGAGGCATGGTTGTATTATGAAGGACCATATTTGAGATATTAGAGGTCATCACTATAGAATATGTTCATGCTAAATGCATGGCAAAGGAATGTTATGGCCTTATTTGGGTGATTCTCATCGCATAATAACGGAAAATTGAAAAACATATTCATTCAAAAGAATAGTTTGTGCATATATATATGCACACTCTAATTAGATTATTCAAAATGAAGTTTTCTTTAAAAATTGCTAGGGGCTATGGCATAGTGTACTGGAAAAAAAATTAAAAACCGTAGGTGACAAGTGTGACAATTCCGATTTACGTTAAATAATAGTCATTTATATAAAATAATATTAAATGTTAAATTTTTATTCCGAGAATTTCCCACATCCAAATATATTATGATACTTTTTTCACATTATTAAATAAGAACTTATTCAATTTCAAAAATTACAGACATTTGAGAAGAGACAAAAGATATGAAAGTGTGATTGCTACTCAAGCATTTTTTTAAATCCTTTGAATCAAATTGCTTGTTGATTTCTTGACTTTCCGGAATCAATACTTCCCAAAAAATCTAAATTCTCTGCCTAAAATGATGTTATCCATGTCCACCACTTGATATGATATAAAATTTGGGGGATTCATGTTGATAGATGACCAACTTTTTAATGCCACTAAGTAATTTTATCTTATGTCACCATACTTGTCTTTTCGAAATCTTCAAATCTGTATTGGAGTAGTTGTAAATTTTAATGCAATCACTTTAAGAATTTACAAATTTTGTAATATAAAATATGTATTTTGTGATATTTTTTTCATTAGAAGTGAATTATATTCACGAATGGTGCTCAAATAACAATTTTTGTGTTCTCCGCAACTAGTGAAGTTGACCACTATAATAATAAATTTTTTCAAATAGATGAAATTTAACTATTATAATAAAAAATATTTCTATTAATAGTTCTGGAATTCACCGATCAAGAGAATAGCGAAACATTGTTACAGAAGAAGAGAGATGCTAAAATAAATATACTCTATTCATTAAATGGGATTAGATAGTCAGAATGTCCAAAACATTTTTTTAAGAAAAAATGGGGGTCCAAAGCTTAACTTCCTACTCTCTTTTTATTTATTGTTATTAGAACTTATACTTTCCATTTTGAACTATAGTATTGATACCATTAAGGTACAATCCTACTCTAAAAGATTGATAATAGCAAATATGTCATTTTCAAATTGTTTTCTCCAAGTTATTTATTTAAGATGCTTTTATTTCAATTTGTTTGGATTATAAGTTCCTCATTATTTAGATTAATAAAAATAGGAAAAAGCTCTCGGGTAGGGTGACCATTAAGTTGCAACGTTATAAAGGGCTAGTGTGTCAATCTAACCATTACATGACGAGAGGGTATTGTCCACTCAGTTGGCACAACAACTGATTGTTCATAGCACTCTCTACCTGTTTCCTCTTATTCTCAGAGTTAGTCAAGTTCTGTCACTTCAAAGAACACAGGCAACAACTCAAAGAAAAGGAAGGGTAATATTGGTGGGCTGCACTTGAATGTCTTCCCTTACAAGGGGCTAGGACATCTGAGGGGTAAGCACAAAGCAACTTCTCAATGACTTTTGCTACGTGGAACATTAGAGGCTTAAATAGCCTCCCTAAGCAGCTAGAGCTACATAATATTATATCCACCTGTAAGCTTGATTTGTTGGCTATCTTAGAAACTAGAGTTGCTCTTGAAAACATGGGATGAATTCATAGATTTATAGCCCCTAGATGGCTGGCTATGCATAATTATGATTACTCCATACTTGGGAAGATATGGATATTGTGGAACCCAGATAAGCTAAGGCTGGCCCAGATTAATGTATCAAGACAAGTAATTCATTGCTCAGTAATCCTTCCTGACAGCACTAAGTTTTATGCTTTTTTTGTCTATGTTGCCAACACTTACTTGGATAGGAGGGAGTTATCGGAGTGTCCATTAATGAGCATTCCACCTTGTTCCCTGACTTACCATGGATAGTTCATGGAGACTTTAATGTTACTGTTAATTCTACTGAGAAATGGGGGGGTACTCAGAAAAGGACAGTGGCCATGAATTATTTTCAGGATTGTTTGATGCACTCACAACTCGAAGACTTGAGATTTTTAGGAATACAGTTCACTTGGAACAATATGAGCATGGGCATGCGAATATCGCTAAGAAGCTAGATAGAGCCCTAATTAATGAAAAGTGGATCCAAACATTCCCAATATCAGACTGCACGTTTCTCCCGCCAACTATATCGGATCACAGCCCTATCCTAATCAAGGTCGGGGCCACTACAGCACAAAAGAAGATCCCATTCAGGTACTTTAACTCCTGGTCCTCTAATCCCCAATTCCTACCTACTGTGGAACAAGTGTGGGCCATTCCAATAAGGGGAGCCACTATGTTTCAAGTGCTGCAGAGGCTTAAAGGCCTTAAAGGACTCCTAAGGCAGAGTTGTAGGGTAGAGATTTCCCAAACAACTGCAGTGGTTGTTCAGTCAAGGCAGAGACTTTCGTTATGCCAACAGCTCCTTGATTCAAACCCTAGGGATAAGTGCCTAAAGACTGAGGAGAAAAGGCTTATGAAACAGTACACTAAACTTGTTCTTGCTGAAGAAAAATTCATTAAGCAAAAAGCAAGAGTCAAGTGGTTGAAGGAGGGTGACTACAATATTGCATTTTTCTTCAAGCTCTACAACCCTAAGATCAACAGAAAGAAGATTACGTGCATTACCACAGCAAATGGAGAGTCCATTGTAAATGATAGTCTGATTAGAGCTGAGGTTCTTGCCCATTTTCATGGTCTGCTAGGGAGTTCTCCCCCTCACTTCCCGGGGAGACAGGCTCTCCAACCTTTTATTTCGGGCCAGGTACCTAGTAGCTTGCTCCCTATGTTATGTGTAATCCCAACTGATATTAATATTCAATTATGTTTCCTCTCTCTTAACAATGAAAATTCCCTGGGGCTAGACGGATTCAACACCTATTTCTATCAAACGGCGTGGCCAGTGATTGGGAATGATGTGATTAAGGCCATTCGAACCTTCTTTGTTAATGGCAGGCTTCTTAAGGAGGTAAATAACTCATATATTGCCTTAGTCCCAAAAACTCCTAACCCCACAACACTAAATGACTTCAGACCAATCTCTTGTTGCAACACACTTTATAAATGTATTGCCAAACTGCTGGCAAACAAGCTTAAACAAGTGCTACCTTCCATCACTGACTCCTCCCAAAATGCTTTTGTCAAAGGCTGAAATATTGGGGACAGTGTGCTACTGGCTCAAGAGCTTCTATATGGTTATCATAGGCACGTATCTCCTCCCAGATGTGCTTTAAAAGTGGACCTCATGAAAGTGTTTGATTCTGTTGGCTAGGACTTCATTTTGGAAATCCTATCCCTCTTGGGTTTTCCCCAACCATTTATCCACTGGATTCGGGAATGCATTATTTCCCCCTTTTTTACTATTTCCCTAAATGGGGAGCTCCCTTGACATTTTAAGGGGGTTAAAGGCCTAAGGCAGGGGGACCCCATTTCCCCTCTCCTATTTGTGGTGGCTATGCAGGTGTTCTCCTCTACTACTAAGAAATTTATTGTTGAAAATCAAGCCTTCAAATTCCACTCAAGGTGCAAGAAACTGACTATCTCTCACCTCATCTTTGCTGACGACCTCCTACTATTCTCACATGGGGACATAGCCTCCATCTCTACACTCAAGCGTGCTATCGACCACTTCTCCTTCCTTTCGGGATTGAAGATCAACTGCTCCAAAAGCCAGTTTTTTGTTTCTGGAATTAGTTCCCCTCTTGTTGAAGAGATTAGAGATCTGTTGGGGTTTGACCAGGGTTCGCTACCTTTCAAATACCTAGGGGTACCCTTAATTTCTACTCGGCTTAGGGCTACTGATTATCGAGGATTGGTGGAGAACATCACTAGAAGAATTTGTCACTAGTTTTCTAACTTCCTATCTTATGCGGGCAGAATACAACTCATTTAGTCAGTGCTTTATAGCATGATCAACTACTGGTCTAGCATTTTTGTACTTCCCAAATCAGTCTTAGCTGAGGTCAACAAGCTGCTAAAGAATTTCTTATGGACTGGAACAGAATTTAAGCACTCTGGAGCAAAAGTCGCATGGAATAAAGTCTGCCAACCTAAGGAGTATAGGGGTCTTGGATTTAAAAATTTGGAAGTTGCAAACTATGCGACATCTCTAAAACACATTTGGACTCTCATCTCTAATAGAAGAGACAACATCTGAGCACAGTGAGTAAGAATTCAACTGATTAGGGATAGATGCTTTTGGACTATTGGCATCTCGCAGAATTGCTCGCTCAAGCAATTGGAAGAGAGTTCTATAGCTTAAGGGAACTGCGAGGAACCTAATTAGATTTAGGGTTGGCAGTGGAGATCTTACCTACTTTTGGGAAGATAATTGGCTACCGGGTGAACCTATCACCTTCAGAATCCTTGATCAAGTCAGACTCAACTCGCCAATTTTACCTGGGCAGAGACTCTCCTCTCTTGCTTCAGATGGAGCATGGTCCTTTCCAGCCACATTAATTGAGCACATCCCTGAGCTTAGTAACATTTGCTCGCCGACCACTTCATCGGTTTCAGTTGGGTGGATCCCCTCACCCTTGGGCTCATTTTCTCCGAGTCACATTGTTGGCTGGCTTGAGACAAACCACCCACCAAAGCACTGGCATACTCTTCTTTGGAACCCATTTTCGGTGCCAATATGTAATTTTTTGTTATGGCTTGCTGTGCAAAACCGACTCCCCACACTTGATAGAAGTAGCATGCGAGATGTGCCTGGCCAAAACTCTGTCTGTTCTGCAATCTAATGAATGAATCGCATGATCACCTGTTTTTTGCATGCACCTTCATAGGCCCTTATGGATCTTCCTGCAATACAAGTGTAATTTCCTCTCTCCGGCATCAACATGGATCGGCTTCGTAGAGTGGGCTTCAGAGCGTTGGGCGAGCAGAAGTCTGAGAAACTCGGTGAACAAGCTTATGCTCTCAACTACCATCAGTAGGATCTGGATGGAGAGAATTAACAATGTTCAAAAACCAAAGCTGCAATCAATCAGTGCTCCTCAATCAAATTACAGATATGATAAAGCAAAAACTTCTTTCGAAGCAGGTACGAGACTTACCATCGGCAAGACGAATTGTGCTTGAATGGAATCTTCCAGCCTCCTTCATTCGCTCGCCGGCGGAACCACTTGATGGATCGAGTTAGGGCGCTGCTCTCCTTGATTCGCCCTAATTTCCTTTGCACCGGAATGACATCGGCTTAGACATGAGTAGTCTACAAACCCTAGACTAGGAATGTGTTTGCTTGGAGATGGGCTGGGCCCTACAGTGTTATTCTTGTTTTGCTTGTTGGTCTTTTTGCTTACTGGGCCGTCTACACTTCGTGGGTTGTATCCTTGTTAAAGCTCGGCCTTGCTCTACTGTATTACCTCATTTATATATAAATTCATCTTTACCTTTCGGAAAAAAATAAAAATAAAAATAAAAAATAAAATTTGACATTCTTATAATAATCTATATTTAAATTATTCTTTTAAAAATAAATAAATCTCACTAAAGTATGTATTCAACATAGCACCTGGTATTTCCTCTCTCTCCCCCACTGTTACATTTTGAATTTCTTCTATCACTTACACCCTGATCTCGTAACACCAAATTTCTCAATTTTTAATTTTTATTGTTCATCAACATCCAAACTCTGTTATGCAAAAGCCCACTGGATTGAAAAAGGAACAAGAAACTGACAGGATAAGAATTATTTGCAAGTTGCAAATTTTTCTACACAGGTTAGTTTATAGAATTTAGTTTATAATAGAAAGGGTAAGGAAGATAAAGAATAGGTCAATTATGTTAACACATCCAAAATAATCAGACAAATTCAACTTAAACAGAGGACTCAACCAAAAACAACCGAACCTGAATTTTACTAATTAAATTTTATAAATATTTGCAAGTTGCAAATTGCAACACTCGCTACACACACTGAGCTTTGCAGACTCTCACATCCTTCACCTATTTATAGGTACTGGCCCAAAGTTGGGATGGATGACAACCAACCACTAATTTTCTACCAAAATATCTAATATAACTCTAAACCACTCACTAACATTCTAAAATTTTCGATCTCTACACAAGTGTGGAAGCTTTTTCTTAATGCAAAACTCTCCATTAATCATATTTTGATAGGGAAAAAGGTCTCCATAAATCCATCAATTAGAAAGTGGTTACCTTCGTGCACTGCGCAACAGACATAAGAAAGTGTAGAGCTTTGAAGAGTTTGAGTTCAGATTATATATTGGGTATAGAGACAACATACATATGTATTTTGGGTTGTAGACTTGTTAGTGAATGATATTTGTCCTTTTCAAGTCATTTTATAAAACATCTATTTTAAAATAATGTAAAAAAAAAAAAAAAAAATGTTTGTTTTGTGCGTGATATGCACTTATGGTGTTTTCTGCACTCTGCCTTATTTATTTAAATATGCATATTATAAAAAAATAACATTTATTTTGTTTTGACCTTACAATAATATCTAAATTTTCAGAAAATAAAAATAAAAAAAAAAAAAAAAGAAAAGAAAAGGAAAAATACCAACACAACCTCTGTTAATCATGCACCATTAATTAGAGAACTAACCATCATCTAATTGGCGCGTGAAGACGATTAAAAACTATATTTCCTTTAAAATACTGTAAAATACAAGATTCTCACACAGAGGATGGTAAATTCATGTCTGAGTCTGGGCTTGTGTTTGTGGGCTCCACTTTTTTCAACGCCAGCCCTGGCAAATGGTAATGTTCCTCTCCATCATGGTATATGTATGCAAACCCCCCATGAATCGTCTGATCCATTCCCGCCATCTCAGCATCCCTGGATATCCTCAACAGCTTCAATTTGTTAAGCACAAAAAACAGTGGGCCCATAGTGGCCGTGACCCACCCAATTATCACAATAATCTGGATGATCTGAGCCGCCAGAAGCTTCCCTCCACCACCCATCAGCAACCCATAAGGCCGCCCCGGCCTTCCCGGATACACCTCGTTGACGTACCGCTCCGTCGCGAACAACCCGGTGAAGAGTATACCCCACGCGCCGCACCCACCGTGTAGTTGCGCAGCCTCGAGCGGGTCATCGTATTTTAACTTCTCTGCAACCTTGTTCCACCCGATCAAAACCCAAGCAGCCACAAAGCCACACACAATAGCTGCCCACGGTTCTACCACTGAACACCCGGAGGTGATCGCAGCAAAACCCCCCAATAGTCCGTTACATACGTCAATCACGTTCCAATGGCCAGAGATAATCCGTTTGCCAAACAAAGTAGTAAGTGCTGCTGTGCACCCCGCCAATGTAGTCGTGACAGCTGTCCTTCCGATGGCACTCCATTGGCCGTAATAATTGTGCCCAGTAGGACCGTCTCCATAGGATCTCAAGATGGTCAAGAATGAACCGGGGTTGAACCCGTACCAACCGAACCAGAGCAGAAAAGAACCCAAAACCACAAGTGAAGCGCTGTGACCGCGTAGTACAACGGACCGGCCGGCTTGGTCGAACCGGCCTACTCTTGGTCCTTCAATGAAGGCTCCCCAGAGGCCGGCTATGCCACCGACCATGTGGACGACGCCTGAACCGGCGAAGTCGATGACACCGGAGCCGAAGAGGAGGTCGTTGTTGGATCGGGTCGCGCTGGCCCACCCGTCACCGGACCAGAACCAGTGTGAAACCACAGGGTAGACAAATCCGGTGAGGAACGAAGAGTAAATGAGGTAAGCCACGAACTGGGTTCGCTCAGCTATGGAGCCGGAGGTGATGCCGGCGGCTGCGATGGCGAAAGCCCATTGGAAGAGGAAGAAGCTGTAGTCGAAAGACGGCGAGGGGACGTCTTTCAGGCCGAAGAAGTGGCGGCCGATGAAGGGGTTGGAGGGGGAGCCGAAAGCGAAGGCGAAGCCGAAGAGGTAGTAGGAGAGGGCGCCGGCGGCTGCGTCGAGGACGTTGGTGAGCATGATGTTCATGGTGTTCTTGGCGCGGACGGAGCCGGCGCAGAGCATGGCGAAGCCGAGCTGCATGGCGAAGACGAGGTAGGAGGAGAAGAGGAGGTAGGTGTTGTCGACTGCGTAGGTGGTGTCGGAGAGCCTGGCAGAGACGGTGTCAAAGCGGGAGCAGATGTAGGCTGCCGCAGCGGAGGCATTGGTGGCGCCGCCTAAGAGGGGAACGAGGTCGGAGGGTGAGCAGGTGAGGGAGGCCATGATATAGAAGTATATCAGTGGAGAGAGAGAGAGGGAGAGAATGTGTGTGTGTTTTGGAAGGTAAAACTATTTCTTGCGTTTACAAGACGGAGAGTGAGGAGCTTATATATATATTGTGAGACAAAACTTGACCCACTTTATTTTATTTTCTAATTAATTATTGGGAAATTTAGACAATGAGGCTGTGATGTATGTAATTACCATTTAAGTTATAATTTTCAAATAACACTGATATGGCGATTGCGTAAAAAAAAAAAATAATAATAATAATAAATTTAAAAAGTAGGATATTAACATTCATTGACAACTTGTTAAAGACTTGTCAATTAAAATATTCAATATTCAAAATATGTTCAACAATGATCTAAAATAATACTCTACTCATTTCAAATTAAGTGTCCTCTCAAAATAACTGTCCCATTTAACAAGTTAATGTATTAATTTTTTTTTTAATATTATCAATTTAATCTTTTTATATTGAATCAATAAAAAATAAATTATTACATTACTATGAACTTGTTAGAGATAAATTTAATAATTCATTAACTATTAATATATTAAAAAATAATAATAATTTTCTTAAATCGCTAGATTTTTGCTTATTTAGAGAATGAGGGAATAATATTTAAATTTAAATAATGGACTAGAGTTACCGTCATTCTAGTGGGTACTTGTGTATATTAGTAGTATGGATGCCTCAGTCCAATGGAAGTGTAAATTTTGTGTGGTGCTTTTATACCCTAGTTTTGGTTTTTTTGCAATTTTTGTAGCAACCGTCTGTTCTCCGTAAAGGTTTTGCATTTGCTAGTACCATTCTTAGACTCTTGTATCAATGCTCGTCTGAGTGTTACCATAATTTTCAATGTTCTTTTTCGTACCACACTACAAAAACTAAACTCTCGCCAAATTACAAGAGAGTATACAATTTGAAACTACAACACGCAAGAGAAAATAGATTGTCAGACCCGAGCTGAAGCAAAATTCCGGTTACAACTTAAAACTTCATATAGAAAGGGATTTCAATGTCATTTTGTTGTGCTGAGTATGTGTTGGACAATAAACGAAACTGTTACAACATTAATCAAGACCGCAAATGAATTAAACTGTTTATAAACAATTCTGAATTAACTCAATTAAAAATTGGCTCAAATTTGACTTTTAAATTGGTTTGATAAATCTCATTTCTCGTTGAGAGAACAACGAATGATCTCGTTACAAATAATAGATGACGCAAGTCGAAATGATTTTTTCTTCATTGGCCCTTGGATTGATGCACATGGTGATGCAATTTTAATATATAGAAAACTATATATATATATATATATATATATATATATATATATATGCCATGTATAACTTTAACTGAGAATGGAAGGTTGAATAATGTAACCTACAATTAATTAATCATTATAGGGTTCGGAATCAAGAGTATCAAGAGGTAGAGGATGACCTCTCAAAGAAGGGGCAGTCACTCGAATTAATAAATTAATCAACAGATTCATTAATTCATGTTTGGATTCAAACCATATGATAGCAACATTAAGAAAGTCAGACACATTATCTGAATTATTGTAACAACTGTTCCTTACCATAAAACAAGTTTTTGTGCCTCATCAGATGGTGACAACATATTATTTATCACGCAAAGTCACTGGGGGTGGTCCTTTCACAAGTTGATGAATCTCCGTAATATAATATGTGTATATATATACAAGTAGAAAGTCCAAATAATTAATTAATAATATTGTGCAGCCCAAGTCGCCACAACTTGCATATGTGTCATTGTTTTTGTGTTCATTTTAATTAAATATAACAACAATAATTAGTAGGTGAACTAATACCAATTTTAATTGTTCGTGTATGACGTACTTATCTCCGCATGATCTAAATGTTTTTCGGATCTTAAGACATTACCAAAAGTGAAGTAATGGTGTTTCACACAAGAGACAAAACTCTTCTTCAAAAAAATGAAGATGAGAATAATAATAATAATAATGATACGTTGATCCTAAAAATTTTATCCACAACACACGATGGTGCTGTTTCATAAAATTGAAAATTAACTATTTAAAATTTTAAAAGTTAAATTTTAAGTATTGTAGTTTTTAAGTGGTAATTAAAAAATAAATATTTTTTATATATTTTTAAAAAATTTAGCGTTCAGCATTCAATATCACTTAAAATTGTACTCCATTTAAGTAGTGCTTAGTATTTTCAGTGATATTCAAATTGTATTATCAAACACACTTTATTTTAATAAGCGCTTAATCCGTTCAGAATTAAGCGCTAAATTGAATTATCAAACAGCACGTTGATCTTTTTACCCAAATGAACATATATAAATGAAATAAAATAAAGTCTTATAGAATTAGGATTTTATCAATTTTTTTAATTTATTTGTATATAATTTAAAGTGGTGTGTGTTTGTACCACAACATCAGCCACTTACCAACGAGATAAAATTGGCCGATTACTTAAAATGTGGTTGAGAACCATAAAATTAATCGACAATAGGTGAAAAATTTAAAACATTACTACTTTACTTATCTTTTTCATTTCATGTCCGTCTTTTTATTTCTTAATATAGTCTTACACTTTCAATTTATATTGTAGCACAGTAATTTTTAACAATATATTACTTTAATTTTCATCCAGCACCTGTATTTCAATTTCTAGATTAATGAAATTTCAGTCTTCTTCTAGTCCATCTATGTTGACATCATAATTATCGGCCACTTTTAGTAAAAAGTTATCTTGGCCGATTCTAATGAAAGGGTGATATGCAAATAAGGATGCAATCATGAAACGAAACGATGCATGGCGTCATTTGAGGAAGCCATTTGGTAAAAGTAACTACCTAGAGATATGTGTTAGCTAAAGAGATAAGTAGTTACTTGCAATTGGAAGGTTATGATTGTTGAATGAGACGCATGGTAGTTGGAAGGATGTGGCTTTCAAGTGGAACACGTGGAGAAGTAAGTGGTTACTAGCAGTTAGAAAGTACGTGGTAGCCGGAATGAGTAATTATTTTTGGTCACTGGCTATAAATAGAAGACTGGATAGAATGAATGTTGTCTTCACACAGATCAAATAACTCCTATTTTCATTTATTCATCATTTCAATTCATGTAATTTATGTTTTCATACTGTAATCTTTAATTTCAACACTTTAATTTCCCGCACATGTATTTAAACTCCTTTGATTTCTAACACTTTCTAACACTTGTACTTTAATTCCTAGTTTAATGAATTTTAAACATTCAATTTTGTTGAATATTGTGGCTCAAACATCACCCATTACATCAGCAAGTGCATCACCTATGACATCATCAACTTGGCCTCCAAGAATTGTGATCAGCAAGCCAGCCTATGCTTAGTCACCAAGTTCAACAATGTTGTGTGATGAAATTTTGGCTATAAACAGCCTTACTCCTATGGTGTTTTAGCATCCTAAAAATTGACTGTGAATTTGCTCATAAAAGCAAAGCAAAGTGTGTGCGAGTTTTGGGTGTAAGCCACTTAGTTTTGTATCTCTTTATTTCTATAGTGAAATATTGATCTGTCTTCTCCCCGTGGACGTAGGTATAGATGAATCACATAAATCCTTGTCTCGTTTGTGTGTACACTGTTTTATTTTTCTTGTCATTTATTTTTCCTCTTGTTCTCATAAACTCCTACTCGATCCTTATTTCAAAACAAACTAGTATAAGAGCTCGGTTCATGTATTGTGTACAGATATTGTTCATACATACAGTACTGTTCACAGATATTATACGGGTACTGTTCACAAATGCGGTACTATTCAACGAGGACTTTTTTTTTTTTTTTAGATGTCGACCAGGTACAAGATTGAGAAATTTGATAGCAAGATTAGCTTCAGTCTTTGATGCATTAAGATGAAGACCCTGCTGACTCAGTAAGGTCTAAAGAAGGTGTTGTTCGGGAAGGATAAGTTGCCAGAAACTATGTCCAATTAGGGGTGGCAAAAATTCCCAACCCGGTGGGGAACCGCCTCGCCCCCGTCCTATTTAAAGCGGGTTTGGAGAACCGTTTACTTAAATGGGGTGGGGATGGGGGTTAAAAAAACCGACTGGTTGTGGGGCAGGGACGGGGGACTAAGATCCCCGCCCCATACCCGCCCCGTTTAATATATTAAATTACTAATTTACCCTGCTATGTTAATATATTTACCAAATTAACCTTCACTATATATATATATATATTTGAAACCACTTCAGTTTCAAACTCTACACTTCATTGCGACAGCCGTGTCTCTCTCTGAGCTCTCTCTTAAACCCAGAATACATCCACTATTTCATTTTGGGGAAGAGGTCAGACCAGATCAGATCCGGATGAGTCGTTGAAGAGTATGGTTAGGGACGAGGTCTGGAGGTTGTTGGGTGAGTTCGCCGTCGTCGAGCCAGGAATTGTGATGTCCAAACTTCTTGGTTGGTTTGACTGTGAATCTGGAGGTTGTTGGGTGAGTTTGGGAAGCGGTGAGTTGGTAGGTGAGTCGGGATCGGATCGTGTCAGACCAGAGTTGAGTTTTTTTTCTCTCTCTCTAAAACTGTATGGTGAGGCTGTGATGATTATGTATTTGAATAAATCAGAGGCTAGATCGTATATTGGCGAGGCAAAGCAGAGGGTCTGTGAAAGATTGTTTCTTTCTTTCACTGGGTAACTATTGTTGCAGCCATTGCGGTGTGGCACAATGTCTGATCAAAAGGCGAATCTGAGCCACCCCAACTCTATTACCTTCTATATATGTTTTTTATTTTTTTTGTTTTTTTTATGAGTTTAAATCTGATGTAAAAAAAAAAAAAAAAAAAAAAAATTCAAAGAGAAAATCTGAATTTGGTTTTTGCATTGTTTGAGTATTCTGTATCAACTTGAGTAAATTTGGTTGGATTGTAGTATGATTAGTAAATTAATCATGCTTTGAACAACTTGTATGATTTATATTTTCAAGATTCTTGTTGCATAAATATTCAAAATTAATTTTTAAACTCCAATTGTTCCCTAATCTATTTTTCCAGTAT